GTCCTTCCCTGGTAAAGACCCTGCCCAGCCCCCAGGGAAATCAGCAGGATTTCAGGGCTGATAGTAGGAAACCTGGAAGTAGCACCTGCAGTTCCTGCACTGACAGGTTGGTTTTTTTTTGCATAAGATCTCAAAGCACTTTAGAAACAGCCAGTTACACCACAGCCCCCTGGAAGGAGGGAAACACCCACGTTTCAGAGCAGAAAGGCAGGCACAGGGTGTGGGGTAGAACTTCTCCAACCAGGAGCCATCTGAGTCAGCTCAGATGGAGAAGACAGAGCTCTACACAGTGGTGGAAAATCTGTATATGCCATAAGATTGACTGGATCCAACCCTAACTGTTCCCTGTGTCCCCTCTTTTTCTTCAATAGCATAATACCATCCAAATAGAGGAATGTAATGGTAGGGACCCAGCATTCACATGACAGCTTTCTGCTCCACAGCTGATTAATCATTCAAGGAGGGACTGGACCTGGAGGCACATTAATGCACAGCATTTCCTCCTGCCCTGCTCTCACCCCACTTCCAGAGCAGGACCAGACTTTCAATTGCATTTCCCTGCTTTAATATTTAATATCTTCTATGTGGGCAGCAGGACCAGGTGACCCTCCCACTCCTCCCTAAGCCCTTTCCAAAGCAGAACACAGCTCCCCAGTTCCCATCAGGGAGAAGGGCTGCAAGTGTCCAAGCCAAATGTGGCTTTTCAGGTTTTAATGAGTGAGGCAGGGATTCTCACCAGCATCTCACCTGCCTAAAATCTGCATTCTCTAGAATCGTGCTGCTCCACTCAAATACCTGCACCAGCCTTGCTGACCACATGCCTTGCCCAAGCTTCCAGTCCCACAGCTTCAGCATTCCCAAAATGTGCTCCACTTCTCATACATCTGCTCCAAACACTCTGAGAAGCCCATGATCAATCTCTGTTTTGACTTGCTCCTTCTCACTTCCATCTCAACTGTGCCAAGCTCTAGCCTGGAGGAACAGGGACATTCACCAACAAACCACTGTACAAAAGCTCAGAGTTCAAAAGTCCCTGGTTTAGCTCACTAATACCCATGTTGAGGAGAGGAATATTCCATTTATTCCAGCCTGACTCATCCTCTCAACATATTTTCCTTTTTCCAGGCAGCAAAACCTCATGGTCTCTGCAGACCTTGACCACTTGTCCATGCTACAGAAGGACATTCAGCTTGAACCACAGGGCCAAGTGGCCAAGTTCTCATCAGAGCAGGTATCTCCACGTTTCTTCTCTCAAGCACACTTAGTTGAGGAAACATTTTTCAAAAACCAACCAACCCGAGTTTGTGCTGATTGTTGGCACAGGGAGCCACGCTGGGCAAGAGACCTGGAAACTTTGTGCAATCCATGTTTTCTAGGACTGTCTGCCTGGGAGCAAAGGGTAACTGGGAGGGAGGCATTTTAAAACAGCCCAGAGCACAGAGGTTTCTGCAGCATCTTGCAGTTGGACTGATTTGATTCAGGAAACCTTGATTTGAAGTAATTTAATTCACAGAACAGGATTTATTAGGTTCCTACTGGGCTTGAACATTTTCTCTCTGAATGCTTCCCTTCCCCCCCACCTCTTGCTGCAGAAGACAAACCCAAGTTGCTCAGGCAGCCTTAAAATGCAGAACAGCCACGTGGGAGGATGTGAGAGTCTGAAGGGATGTAGAAGACCAGCAGAACCTGGGAGACTCCAGCTGATCACGGAGTTCAAGACAGTTAAGGCAGCCAGTGGCTGCTGGAAGGAGGAATGAAGCCAAGGAAGGTTTGGATGTTACCTGTAGAGCAGCTGCTGAGGAATTTGCTTCCCACAGGTCAGTGCAAACTGAAGGGACTCCCCTGACCTCAGTACCCATGGGACCAGATTCCATGTGGAATGATCCTGCCAAACTGTACCTATGGACCCAACATACCAGGGGGATCAGGCCTGGCTCTGTTCCTGCAGCACAGCCCTGAGGAGCACAATAAGCTGCTCAAACAGCAACTAAAAGCTCTTCTGGGGCTACCAGGTGGACCACATCTTCAGGAGTTCAGACCTAACTGAGCAGAACTACCCAGGCTTCTCAGCACACTTAATAAAAAGATAAAATTATTCATTGCTCCCGATTAGAGACATATTTTAGTGGTGACAACTTTGCTGCCTCTCTCTGCTGCTGCTTCTAGCAGGAGTTGCAACATTTACAAGGACAATTGGACTGGAAAAACCATCTGGATAACCCATCTGGGTGAAGTGTTATGCAGCCACCTCCCTGGTTCCCAACAGGAATTGCAAAACGGGCGTTTGTTAAAAGGCTTTAACATTTTATTTTCATTTCACAAAGTCGGTCAAGAGAAATCAAGTGACCAATGTCCTAGAATCATAGAATGAGGAAGGTTGGAAGGGACCTTAAAGATCATCAGGTTCCAACCTCCCTGCTATGAGCAGGGACACCTCCCACCAGGCCAGGCTGCACAAGCCTCATCCAACCTGCCCTTCAACACCTCCAGTGCCACCAGTGATGAGCCAACAACAAAATCCAGATGATTTTGCTGTTTAATTCTCCTTCTCCCCACTCACAGCTACCAAGTCACCCTCAGGTTTGCCCACTCCCACAAAAGCACAAACTCTCCAAGTTTTGAGCTGATTTCTCTTTACTTCACAGTCTTGGCAAAACAAAATCTGCATTCAAAAGTCATTTCACATGAATATATTAATCAAACATTTTCAAAATAAATAGAGATATATTTTAAAATAACCATTTCTTTCCATCACTGCAGTAGCAATTCTAGAAAAGTCAGTGCACAGACAGCAGCAATTTGATTCATCAGCTAGACTCAAACAAAAAGAAAACAAGAGCTGGACCTTTTTTTCTCTTTAAGCAGGCTGCATGCAGCAAGTCTCAGCAGTTCCCTAGCACATCATCTTGCTTCACACTTGCTGGGAAGGATTTTTCTCTCTCTCTCTCTCTCTCAGACACTGTCAGAAATCAGGGAAGTCTGATATGTGCAAAGCTTTGTACGACACAGTTTGACAACCTGGCTTCTGATCAGTCCTGCAGAGGCTCAGCACACTGGAGTAGTTGCTAATGAGAGCAATGAATCAGTAGAAGGAAAACACTTGGACCCTCAAAATCCATGGAGCCCACATTCAAGTTACTAGCAAGTAAATTCACAGCTGATCCAGGAACACCAACAGCATCAAAGAACATTCAAATGAGCAGCTCGGTTGTACCTAACAGCTTATTCCAACGTTTTGCATATTCTCTCAAGTGCTTCCAGGGCAGAAATAAAACAACCCTTTTCTCTCCATTAATAAACCATCTCTCCATAAACCAGCTATTAATTCACTGGTTAAATCACAGCAGTTAAGATGCTTCACTGGCCAAAAAATGTAAATCAACTTACAACAAAGAAAAAAAGTGCATGATACAGTGTTAAAAGAGAAGATTCAGGACTTAAGTGATCTCAAGCTCATGTTTCTAACTGGAAAAAAGAGACAACAGAAAATTAGTGTTCCCATATGACCTCTAACTAGTTAGATGCTACTGATCAATCCTGGTAAGAGTGGTATGTTTGCTTTAAGAAGGGAAGCTCATCAGCATCATCACAGAGTGCACAGCAGGGAAATGTGGAGGGCAACCAGGTGGTTTGCTGGGATTGTCAGGAATGACTCAGCTGAAAAAACCCAAAAAACCAAAAACAAACCAAGTTTAATAGATATCTGAAAGAAATGTACTAATATCTATTTCCTTTGTGATCCCAAAGGTTCCCTTTGAAGCCCTTTCTCAGTAGTGGAAGGAAAAGTTGCACGTGATGCTCTGGGTTGAGAGGAGTACCCAGAGACACCCCTGTGCTCAGGGATGCTCCTGGTTGCAGACTAAGGTAAATTCAACACCTCTCCCTCTCCTGAAGAGCCTTGTTTTCACGTTGATTACGTTTATGATCAGTTTGGAGTAGTTGCTTTCTCTAAGGAGGTGTAAGTATCAAAAGAAACTGACATAAGGGAAACAACCATATGAAGAGAACCTCCAGTGCTAGTGATGCCACATGCAGGGAGAAGGAAATAGTGCGGCAGGACAGGGCACCCTCAAGAGCTCTCCAAGGTCTTCCAGGCTGCTGGAATCTCTCCCCTTGCTTTGCACACATCTACCACTAGAGTCCAGGAAAGCTATGTGCCTTGGGGGAAGGCTCCACTCCTCAGTGCTATGGACTGCAGCCCAAGATTCTGTCAAAGTGGGAAGTAAGAAAGCAAGGAGTGGTGGAGAAGTTCTGGGTTAGCTTATTGGTTTTTCTTGTCCTCTGGTGGGAAGTATGGAGGAGGGGGTGGCTGGTCCTGAAAGACAGTGAGAGAACATCAATTTCTTGCTAAATAAAAACCAAAAACCAAACCAAAACTAAAAAAAAAAAAAAACCAACAAACAACACAAACCACCAAAATCAATTCAGATACACTTTGCTGTGTCACTGAGAAAAATAACTGCTAAAAATAACTGTTAAATACATACTTGGTCTCCCCATTACAAACCAGAATGACCCAGGAACTCACCGTGGGAACATAGACATTGTGTGGGTTGACTGGGCTGTAATAAGCACTGGCAGCAGCTTCAGCAGCCTTTGCTTCAGCTGCCACAGAAAGAGAAGTTACAGGTTTGGTGATGCACAGAAAACTTTCACAATCAAACAAAAACCCCATCTATTTCTGCCCACCAAATGTTACTAGCAGAGAGCACTATTTGACCAACTCTTGAGTTGCAAAACAGCAACAACAAACACAACAATTGACAATTATCTCTTTCAGTTGTCACAGAATTGTCAAGCTTGAAGTGAAACAGGCCATGATTTAGTTGGGAAATGGCACCTGGGACTTGCCTTTATTTATTTGTTTAGCCAATTTATTTGTTAGCCAATAAATAAATGCTGGTAGCTGTTTTGCCTGAATACAGACAGTAAAAGGCAGTCAACAAACCCTCTTTCTTGGGAGTGAAAACAAAAGACAAAGCAAAAATCAGCTGAAGTTTATAGCAGCTCAGGGGACTCATACTTTAAAGACGGCAATTTATGAGTATCATTTTTGTATTTCTGCAGAATACAAAAATCTTGGACAACCATCTGGATCAAGTACCACTTTCCAAGGAATAGTTCAGAGATGATTGATTGTTTATTCAAACCAAAGAGAGAAGTTAAAGCCTTAACCAGACAAACACCCCTAATCTGCAAGGAATCTATGGCTGTCCAACCACAAAAGCTCTTATTTTTCCTCCCCCCCACCCCCATGCAGACCATTTAAAGCCATATTCAAAATAATTTTGATTCATCCCAAATGAGTGAAAATGAGACTGGTATTTCCCCAGCTCCTTTCCATCATCCAATCCTCTGTTCCATATTGTTTAGGCAAATGTAATCAGGTTAGAGTGAGACAGGGGAAGAGGGAGTGAATCTCACCAAAACCATATTACTGACTAAAATGGACTAGAAACACATTTCACCATCAATTTATTTTTGTTCATCTATCAGAGCAAGATTAGCACAGCAGAATCACAAACTAATGTTTTATCTGTCACAACAATAATAAATCCAGCTGCAAAACACCCACTAATTGTATCAACCCTGGAGAGAATCAGGCTGGCATCCAGACTGAGCTGGATATACAAGGCTGGAGATGAGGGGAGCTCCCTAATTTTTCTCTTAAACAATTTTAACTTCTAAGTGGGGCTTCTAAGTTAACTCTAAGTTCCCCAACAGATAACAGAAAATAAACAATGTCTGTTTCACAGGTTACTAAACTGTTGTGAGCTAATTCCTTACCTGCAGGAGTGGCAGGCAGGTCTGGAGCACTGACTGGGGGTTCCATGGGCCCTGGGTAGGGTGGGGGTGGGAGCTGCATGTACCCCATGTCCCCATCTGCCCCTGGAGGGCCAGGATAAAACTCTGTCAGGGAAGGAAAGATCACAGGAAAACACTTCAGTCCCTTGGGAGGGTGACAGTGTGCAGCCAAAACAAGGCACAGGCAAACAGAATGAAGCTCAGAAACAAAAGCTGCACGAGTTGAGATCCAATCTAAGACACTATGTAAAAAAAAATGGTGTTTAACTTTTTAACTATTTATGTCTTTAACTAGAATATATTCCCATCCTCAATTTCCAGGCTTACCAGGAGGAGGTGGTGGGTATGGATAGCCCCCATTAGCTGCAGCTGGTGCAAAAGCATAGGATCCATTTGGCATATAGGAATAGCCATAAGCTCCGTTGGGTATTTCACCTCTGGAGACTGTAAAGATAAGTAAAGATAAGTTGAACTCATCACAACATCAAGCCCACATCAAATGCAGGCCAAGAACCCCAACAAACACAGAGACTGAAAACCAAACAGGCTCCATCCCAACAAACCTGCTGTTCACTGGATGTGAAAAAAAACCCATGTATTTTTTAAAGTAAACAAATTCCAAACACAGCCTGAAACTGAATTTAACCTGTTGCAACCTAAAAGTGCCCTTGCTGGGAGCTGAAGGCAAGGCCCCCTGAAGCCCCAGGACCCTCTGGCAGACACCACCAGGCTCCCATACCTTGTGATGCCACCTGCAACATACGCTGCCCAAACTCGATGGCACCCCCAGCTGAAAAGGTCATCTTGAAGGTGGCAGATCCTTCCCAGCCTCCTGCAGGGAGGAAAGATGGAATTCAGAAGCAAGGAGAAGCTGTCTGGATGCTATTCAGCTTCCATGCTTTATCTACAGATATCCTGTATATAATTCTTTCAAGAGCTTATCCCAAATATCCAAGAAAAACATGCAGATAATGCAGCAGAATTATTCTATTATTAGAAAAAGTCCCACTGGGCAGGATTTTCATGTAAGGAGACACCTGAAAAAGAAAGATCCACGAGGGAGACAATCAAAAGCTTATTTAAAGTTGTGCTCATTTCCACACCAGCTGCCAACAGAGCTAGCTATCAAAAGCACTGGATTTGCTTTGTGTAAGATTAACAAAATCCCTGTCTTCTGCACTAATCTTGTTTGCTAAAAAGCCTCTGCAACTACACTTAACTGTCAGCTAGAAATTAGTTTGGGAGTTTGAGTGCCTAATGAAGCAAAGAGCTTAATGAAAAACATGATCCTCATAAATACGTTATAGTCCCTGATAGATACTTCAAGTCAGGATAATAATATAAGAAAAATAAATAAATTGGTGACATCTCACATGGCAGAGTGAGAAAGAAAAACATGCACAGCCCAGTGTCCCAACAATGCATCAAAGCTGAAGCTGTGTCAGTGCTGGAACAGGGACATGTAGATTAAGGAGACTTTTGAGCGAAACCAGAGTCTCATGGCTGGTAAAGCAACATTCTCATTAAAGGAGACAGACTCTGGGGAAAACCCACAAAGATTTAGCTAAAGCTCTTTGCCTTTCCCTCAGTTTACAGAGTCTGTCATTACTGCTCAAGCTTCTTCTGACACTGGATACTCATCTTCTACAGAATACAAAAATCTTGGACAACCATCTGGATCAAGTGCCTCTTTCCAAGGAATAGTTCAGAGATGATTGTTTATTCAAACCAAAGAGAGAAGTTAAAGCCTTAACCAGACAAATACCCTTAACCTGCAAGGGATCTATGGCTGTCCAACCACAAAAGCTCTTAATTTTCCTCCCCCCCCACCCTCATGCAGACCATTTAAAGCCATGTTCAAAATAATTTTGATTCGTCCCAAATGAGTGAAAATGAGATTGGATGGTCCCACACAGAAGCTACCATGTTGATTTCAGGATTAAAGGCTGAGTTCTCCTGAGTACTAGGTTGTGATTTCAGTGCCATAAATTACATCAAGCTTGGGATGAAGGAGTTCACTGGATTATGTGGCTTTGGTAAAAAGGAGAAGGATGAAACAGTGATTTTACAAAAATTTCTTCTTGAAAATGTCTACCACAACCTTCTCATTGAATATAAAATTGCCCCTTAAAGATTCCCTGATTTCAAGGCAGTCCCTTCTCTTCCAAGGGCCACTTTTACTGCCAAGCTGCACTACAGCAACCACGTGCTTTTCCTTGAATTGCACAAGATGATGGAGAACAGTGCTCTGGAGATCTGCTCTTGAAAACTCAAACAGGCCCAGAAAGGATCCTGAGTCTTTGGCAGAGGAGGACCTGGATGCAGAATTAACAAGTAACCCCAACTGCAGAGAAGGCAGGAATGGGATGGGCTGCAGAACAAACAGATCTGTTCATTGTAACTGCACAGGAAGCAGATAAGGGGAATATATTTAGCAGCTGGTTCAAAGAAACAAACACATTTTAGCAGTAGTGTAGCAACTCAGTGGGTCAGTTTGGAATCCACTGTATATTCACTGTGCAGCTGAACACACAGAAGACACATCTGGTCTGTACTTACCTCCTGCCTCTGCTTTCACTGTACCCTTGATATAATTTGCCCCAAAGACAGGTTGCTTAATCTCACAATCTTTCAACAAATAGAAGGGCATCACAAAAGACTGCATAGCATCCTTTCCCTTTGATACAAAGATAACCTGAAAAGAAAGCAACATTAGAAGGAGTATTTAAGACAGGAAACACAGCCCTGATTTATTATCTTTTCAATGGACTGAAACTCCCTCCCACATCTCAAGCTCCTCATCAGTTCTGCAAACTAAAAGCTACACAGAACTGCCAGGAGGGTAAAATGAAGCCTCAAGGGAATAAAACCTTCCAGGAAGACTGCCCTTGCCCAGAGTATCCTCCCCAAAGCTTCCAGAGACCTTGCTGCTTTCACACAGCCATGACTTGGTAGCTGAGCTGTTACATTCAGCATTTCCAGACCATTGTTAATTTCCAGTCTCCAGATGCCTGATGGAATAAACAGCTGTCTGGATAAGAACTAATCAGATTTATTATCTTTTGACAAATAGATTGGATGTGCAATGGATTCATAATGCTCCCCAGAGGGAGAGGATGAGCCATACTTCAAGGGGTAGCAGATTACCCTGACTTTCATGCTCTGAGGACATTTAAATACAGAATTGCAAAGAGCTCTTATCTCTTTATACAAGATAAAGCCTTTTGCTACTTACTCGGTAAGGAGTCAAGAAAACACTCCCCTTCTTGGTCCCTTTGAAGGCATCTGGCATAGGTTCCAGATCACTGAAGGTAATTTCTATATGATCATAGGTCATCAAAACACTGCAGACAAGGTGAGAGGAGACACACCACGTTATAGTGCTTCAGCTCAAGGCACAATACAGGATGCATGGAAGTTTACAAACCCACCAGAACTGCCTTTACCCTCAGGCAGACAAAATCAATCTTTTTATATTTTTTTGGTTTGGTTGGCAGTAGCAATTTATGAAGCACTAGCTGCTTGTTCTCAGCCTTGTGTTCCCCCCTCAGTGTGCTGGCACAGTCTCTGTAACTGGTTAACTGAACTGATCAGGATCCCAAAACATATATATATATTCTATTTAGTTTTAAGTTGTGTTGCATTTCTGCCACATCAGTTCTCTAATTTGGTTGACCAAAAAGTAACACAACAGAGGAAGAACTGCTGAAAGAAGAATTACTCAGGCTGCCTTATGCAACACAGCTGTTGAAGGTCTAAGCACTGTCACAAGAATGTGACCAGGAGGAACTCCCCTTCTTCGTCACTAGACTTCATTAGCCTGTGTCATCTGCACTGACTCCTTAATTCTCAATTAGAAACTGACCTGATTAAGACCAGTGCATGGACGAAGTGGGTAACTTGTATTAACACAACAGCATCCACATTAGGGACTCTAATCCCTAAAGCTGGACAAGCCTCCACCTTCTTTATCTTTGGCAGCTTACGTATTACCATCCTCAGTCACCCACCCTTCCCTTCTGTCAGCAAGTACCTGTCCCTCCAGAAAATGCCCCAGGAGGGCAGAGGGGCCAGCAGCTCTGCTCACATCTCAGCACATCAGCTGAATCAAGCACCACCAGCAGCCTGGGCAGAGGCAACCCCGGGCCCAAGGCAGCTCTAACACCTTAAGCTGCCCCAGTCATTTGACTCCCTGGACGTAGATCTTAAACCACACAGATGATCTTATTGAATTCTTCCAAGAGTCACATCCCAAATAGAAGTCAGGTGCAGAATTCCTACCCCAAGGTTTAACCAGCCTCATGGAAAGCAGCCCTGAAGAATGAACTACTCCTTTGTCCCAGAAGCAGGTGACTGCCACGTCAGAAGCAAACACACTGGCAGGCACCGAGGGCGAGGACATGCAGACAGAGGCGGCTCTGTGGAGCCTGTTTCCATGGTTATATTCCAGCACCTTTTCCAACACTGCTGCTGCTTTCCGACCACAGGGAAGACGGGATGTGTGAGCAGGGAACGCAGCAAACCGAGCGGGGCAGCGCTCCCCGAGCTCTCGAACAGACGCAGACTGCAGGTGCAGCCCCAGCCCTCCTGCAGCACCGGCTGGCGAGAGAACCATGAGGCTTGGGGCTGGGCCAAAATCCCCTGGCTAGGGGCTGAGCTCTGCCAGTGGGAAGAGGCTGGGGACAGCAGTAAGAACGAGCAGCAGGGAAGGCAGGCGGGGAGGGAGAGCAGGCAGGGCAGGGGAGACGGAGACAGGCAGGGGAGACGGAGACAGGCAGGGGAGACGGAGACAGGCAGGGGAGACGGAGACAGGCAGGGGAGACGGAGACAGGCAGGGGAGACGGACAGGCAGGGGAGGCAGGGCAGGGGAAGC